AAGTATAGTTTCAAATACCCAATCTTCTTAACCATGTGTCATATGACAATGTGTTCTTTGTCAAGCTACATCACGGTTGCATGGATAAAGATGGTCCTCAGGCAGACTATTCGATCCAGGATTCAGTTCCTCAAAATCTTGGCTTTGAATTTTGTATTCTGTGTGTCGGTGGTGATTGGAAATATTTCTTTGAGATTCATGGCAATTAGTTTCAATCATGTTGTTAAGGCTACAAAATCGTTTTTCACATCAGTTTTGCTTACTTGATGACATTGAAGAGGGAGGCTTGACTTATGTATATTACCCTTATTCCCATTGTTACTAGGGGTTATCATTACCAATCAAGGTGAACTGAGTTTTCATCTATTTGGTTTGTCAGCAAGAATTCCATGAACTCCCTTCTGTACATGGCTCCTATAGCTGATGTGTTTCTACTTCCTACAACACTCATTATGGAAGAAAACGTGATCAATATCACACTTGTCCTTGCCAGAGATGGTATCAAAAGCAGTTGGTATCTCTTATTCAATTCAACACTAGCATATTTTGTGAATTTGACCAACATTTTGGTCATGAAACACACCAACATTTCACTTCTATTCCCACTGAGTTTTGTTCTCAAGTGGTCTTGTGACATCATACAAAAGCTTTGAATACTGTGCAAAGAGCTTCATTGATCAGAAATATGTGCAGAAATCATAGAGAAATGATGAATGTATTATCACATGTTTTACAAACCAGTGATTATGGTGCTGAACCAATGTTGCTATCATATGGTGTTTTCATTTATTGATATGAAATAAAGTTTGACTTCTTCAACCACAAGGTCAGAAGTGAGATATGATGAAGATTTCTTTCCACAGAAGGGAAGCAAAAATTTTAACAACAAGAAACTAGTGGAACCAACTAATGTTGAACGACAGGTTATTGTTAAACATCTCGGCATGATATGGTCCAAATTGCCTTGTTCAATATTTGATTAGATGTGGAGACATGAAAGGAATTAGGATAAAATCCTCCTTGTGATATGTTTCAAGAGTCAAATCAGAACAGACTCTACTCTCTTAATTAATCTCTGCTAAGCTTAGCATATCTACATTCTTCAAAGATGATATATTCTCTCTTCAAAGATGATAGATTCTCTTTTCAAAGATGAAAGCTTTATTAGATTTCTACACAAGTCCAGACTAAGAAAGCCGATGTTATCAAAGACAAAATGGGGCATCAAGGTCATAGTTTTGACTACGACAAGAGTTCCATAAATGAAACATTTCTTCTAAGACTTAAATGAAGAAAAGAAGACACAAAGATACCAGTTGATCAAATGGTTCTTCAGAAATATAGCATAAGTTGCTACACTGATATCTGAAGGTAACACTGGCAATAAATGATCAAGTGAAGGAAGACCGAGTTCGCCACTTTGAAGTCAAATGAAGATTGCATCAACATGCATGTATTCATAAGAACATCATTTGCACAATAGACAATGCATTACTTTGATACATTTCATTGCATTCAAACATGAAGTTTTCGTATGAAAAAGAAGATTCGTGATGAAAAATACCTTACAAAAAGAAGGTAGAATTCAAAACCTCAAATGCATGAATCACGCAAACATCTGAGGAATAGATGACCGCAATCCACAAAAGAAGTATTATTTTGGGGCATGTTACCCAATCAACAAATTATTTCAATGAGAAAACAATTTCCAAAGTTTCTCATTTAATCTTTTCTGAAAATGAAATTGTTGAATAGTAAGAAAACGATTTCCATAGTTTCTTACTTAGTAAACTATTTCCCACAACTGTAAGCCCTTCAGTGCATGATGTTTTTAAAACCTTCGGGTCATCTGTAAGCCCTTCAGTGCATGATGTTTGCAAAGCCTTTGGGTCATCTGTAAGCCCTTCAGTGTATGATGTTTTCAAAACCTTCGGGTCATCTGTAAGCCCTTCAGTGCATGATGTTTTCAAAGCCTTCGGGTCATCTGTAAGCCCTTCAATGTATGATGTTTTCAAAACCTTCGGGTCATCTGTAAGCCCTTCAGTGCATGATTTTTTCAAAACCTTCAGGTCATCTGTAAGCCCTTCAGTGCATGATGTTTTCAAAACCTTCAGGTCATCTGTAAGCCCTTCAGTGCATGATGTTTTCAAAACCTTCGGGTCATCCATAAGACCTGCAGTGCATGATGTTTTCAAAACCTTCGAGTCATCTATAAGACCTTTAGTGCATGATGTTTCGGGTCATCTGTAAGACCTACAGTACAAGATGATAGGACCTCTGAACAAAATATTTTCAACCTTTCCATCCTACTCGAAAGAAGCCAAATGAAAAATTATTGTTTCGTCTTTGCTCTATTCTTGTTAACACAAGAATGAGCAAATAGGGGCAGCTGTAGACACTACTTTTTCAAGTTTTCTTTTTATTATTATTATTATTATTATTATTATTATTAAAATTATTATTATTATATATATTATTATTATTAATTATATATTATTATTATTATTAGATAAATAAATAATTACAAATTACAATAATCCTGAAGCCCAAGAGGAAGCCCAACAGTGACCCAAATACATTTACAACCTGAAGCCCAATAATGACTGGCCCAGATCCAGATGGCCTAGTAAGACATAACTCATTTAGGGTTACTACTAAGGTTTTTAAACCCTAGCTCACAACCACCGCCTTGGACCAAAGGAGCTTCAAGCCACCGCTGTCATGTCACTGCCGACGTTCCCACTTCCAGGTGACCTAATCCGCTGCAACCACGACGTCGCCGCCTCGATGAAACCTCCAGAAGAGCCAACTGCCCCCCATGTCGAGCTCTATGGTGAGTCACCACCATAGCTATGGAGACTCACCGAGAAACCCTTCTGTGACCGGTCCGAGAGCAGCGTCGGTGGTGGCTATAAAAGCCACCGATCCTGCCAATTAAAAAGAACGGAGAAGACAGAAGAACCCGAGGACAACATCAATACACAGAGCAATCAAAGATACGGGAACAACAACGCACAACCACGACAACAGTAACAATAGGACAGCAAACCAAAGGAAAAAGAAAAGAAAGAGAAGGAACTTACCCCAACCGTCGGACTCTCCATTTTCGAGAGTTGAATCGCCGAAAATACAACCTCAAATCTAGGACGATCGAAGAGTTTTTAAGGTAAACAACTCTCGGTTTCGACTTTAGGGGAGGCTAAACTTCAATTTAGGCTATTTTCCAAGTTCCGGCCACCGCGGTGGCTATTGTCGATGGCCGGCTCTCTCTCCGTTGAGAGAGTTTAGAGAGAGGCGAGAGGGTTCTCTCTTTAAAGAGAGAACCCATAATGAAAAATGAGGATAATGGCCCTTAGGGCCAGTTATAAAGGGGTTTATATACCCTCTCCCAAACGACGCCGTTTTGGGGGAGGCGTGTATGTGTAATTTCGGAAAGGATAAACTCTTTTCGCAACCCTTATAGTTATATAATTTTCCAATTCAGTCACTAAAAGCAATTCCTAATTATTTCAATTCAGCCTTCTAATTTTATTTAAATTATAATTTAGTCACTGCATATACTTATAAATATTTAGGATAAATAACCTATTTAGCCTTTATTAATTTTAATAAATTTTATTTATATCCCGAAATTAATTAACATAGGTCAAATTACACTGTTAATAATTAGTTTTCATAATATTTTGAACTAGAGACTTTAATTTTAAATTGTTATAATTTAATCACTCATTTTTAATAATTTTCATTGTTTTACCATAAGTTTTGTTATTTTTTTATTTTAATCCTATTATTTTAATTTCATTTGTTTTAGTAAATGTTTAGTTATATTTAATTTTATTTTATTACTTTTGATATGTTTAAATTATTACTTTAATTATTTATATAAATATATATATATATATATATATATTTTTTTTTAAATTTTATTTATTTTTTAATATTAAGAAATGATTGTCTTAAAACACCTAGAAGTCTTTTTTAATATTCTTAAATAAATAAATATCCTATTTTTATAAATTATATATATTAATTTATTTTAATTATTTTTTTATAGAAATGTTTTATTAATATTTATTTATTTATTTATATTAAGAAATGAGTTGTCTTAAAGCACCTAGAAGTCATTTTCTGGTATTTCTAAGTAAATAAATATCTTATTTATAAAAATAAAATATATTAATATTAATATATTTTCTTAAAAGTATATTAATAAATTTGAAATAACAGGATTATGAATCAAATATATTTTTGAATTTTTAAATTTTCAATAATAGAGACAATTTATAATTAATGAGTACCAATTTTGGGCTTTGTGAGAGTGTTAATCCTTCCCCAAACGTAATCGACCACAAATCCCTTTTTATTATTAAAAAGAACGAATTTTTGATTAAAACGCAGGCCAGTTTATCTTTTAACTTATGTTTTCTTAAAAACTCTTTTAAAAAAATAATTTTTAGGTATTCGACCTACCTAACCTAAAAAGGTCGATGGCGACTCCCAAAATATTTTTTAAATCAAAATCATTTTTGATTCACATCATTTTTCCCGCCAAGTAAAAAATTTATTCCCGGACTAAATCTGGTTACGATATATATATATATATATATATATATATATATATATATATGTTTGAAATAAGCTCAAAGTTTTCTGCCTGCGGAAAAGGAGACATGTCGATGGGCAGATGGCTTGTTCACCAATTAAAAGCTCTTCTTCATTGAAAAAAAGCAGGAAATTGTTTGTTGTTGGTCCTTTTGGGAGACTGGTGCCCTTGACTTCAAACGCTTCAACAACTTGGATCATTGTTTTTGGTGACTTGACCCTCCATTATTTGTGTGGGGGGAAATAATATATATATATATATGTTACTGATATTACCCAGCTAAGCATTTTTTTTCTTTCAATTGAAAAAAATGCATAATTAGATTGTATTAAAACACATGGAATTGTATAATCATGCACAGACAACAACACGTTTGATACAGCCAAAACACTTTTTCCTGTTGTTTTAATTGTGACAGCAACCGGACAGGATTGAGGAAGCTGCTTTAATCTGGGAACTTGCCTTTATTTGTTTTGTTAAGGGAACTCTGAGCTTCAGAAATATCCTGTTTGTACTTGAAAACCAGCATCACCCTTGCCTTCTCTCAAACCCTTTTTTTCAGAAAAAAAGTGAAAAAGGATCACCTTAAAAATATCACTCAGTTGATGAAAATCATGTCAACAAACTAAACACTCTAAAATAGAGACTTACCCTAAAATGAAATATCGAGGGTAAAAAAAATATAAGAGTTGTAGTAATTATTTAGTTAAATGTTAAAGGTCTTTTAGTCCTAAATAAAATGTTAGGTCAAAATATCTAGAAAAATATAAAAACTAAAATAACTATTTAATCAATGTTAGGAGCATTTTTTGACATTATGTCTGTAATAATTAAATCAATGTATGCCAACAGTGTTTCCGCTCAGCTAAACAAAAACAAATGGCATAGTGGATATCAAAAATAAAGAACAATAGTATATATGAAGATATTGATGCTGCAATTTAGCTCCATACCACAACCATATATAAAATCTGAAGTACTGTACTTGTAGGAAAATCTGATCCCTTAGGAAAGATGACTCCTTTCTCTAATCTGAGATCAGTTACCTGATTATTGCAGAAAAAGTGAGCTCTACATTTACAATGTGCGTATATCTATACATGTTTTTGGGGAAACGCCAACTGCATGTGTTATTAAAACCATGCATGCAGTGTCTGTGTGGACAGTGAATTTTGAAGCTTTGCAAGCTTGGTTAACAGCAAGATAAACAAATGTGTTAGGTCTCCCTCTTTCAGTTTCAGATTTTAGTTTTGCCTTTTGGATTTTTCCTCGCTTCAGGCAAGGAAAATGCCAGATCATTTTCTCTCTGTTTTTTCTTTATGAAAAGAAAACAATATCAGTTCATTTACTCAACGCAATAATTTTGTCATTACATAATCAAATGAATGAAAGCAAACAACACATATATAAGGTAGAAGCAACCTATGCACGAAAATGTGCAAAAAATAAAGAAGATTTTGCTGCCTTGAAAACCAGAGGGTGTTAGTATTTTTCTATTCCGGATTTTCATTCCAGAGAAAATAAAATAGTATTGTCCAAAAAGCCAGTTGAATTGGGAAGGAAAATTAAAACATTAGCAGGCAAGACCATGAATTTTTACAGTTGTTATGCACGCCAGGCTATGGTCTAATGCATTTCACCTATTAAAGCAATTACAAATGTTACCACATATCATATGGATATTGCACTTGTGCTGTTGTTGCTCAGTCATACAACCCTTCCTGCTCCCACACATCCACGAGGAAATCTATCATTTCCTGTCATTTTTTTCACGAGAAACACAGAATCAAGCAAGAAAACAATTCGGGATTCCATGAGCTTGCTGGTGCTGGGACTTACAGAGAGAGGAATAGGCTGAGGGAACGGCTTGTTGCTTCCGAGTAAACTTTCGTAAGTTGCATTCAAACTGCAAAGCCAGAATTGTTTAACCATGCACAGACAATGAGTGCTGACAAGATAACGAAAAGCTTCATAAATGATCAAAGGGTCATATACTTATACACCGGAAGTTGTTTTCCCTGAGTCGACAATATGCCATTTCAAATTTAAGTACCTAAGATTGAGGTTCTATAATGTCTTGAGCCTCTGTATAGCCCCGATGAAAGAAATTAAACGTGATTATAAAATGAATGTCCCCGCTTAACTTAGTTAAGTGGGAATTTTTTCATATCTAGTAATTCCAGACAAAATGCAGTTGTAGATGACTTCTAAAATTTAAAAAATACATAGAAGAAAATAAACAAATCTGAGCGCAGATCATTTTGCAAGTGGATGAGAATTCTTAGGAAGAGCGGTACTTGAAACTAAGACATAATAAAAGCACTAAATCAATATTTTCTGACAATAACTCACTTTAGTTTAGGTTCTAGAACATCTCGCTTCCGATTTTCAGACTTCCTGTTTCCCACCCAGCGCTGCCGGATTTGATTCCACATAAGAAGGCCTGCAACCAAGTGCAGTTATGAGTTGGTGCATAGACAGACTCGTCTTATTTTAGCACCGAAAGAGATCCAAAGATAGCTATCCAGACAGGAAGATAAGTTCATAGAACTGTCGCATACAAATGTTAATCCAAACTAAGTAACAAAAGAACTAAGAACTTGCCATGATTCACAAATTCAGCAGGGGCATTAGCAGCTGCAACACTGCCATGCGGATCAAGCGTCTGGTTTCTTATACTGATCGATGAGATGCTTCCCCGTGATTGCATTGCACTGTTATCCATATCACAAGTGCTAGTGGTCCAGAAATTTTCTGATATGCTGGCTTTCTTTCCTGTCTGACCTTGAACTTTTAGTCGTTTTGATGACTCATTCACCAAGGGATTGAAAGTCGGCCTTTCATAGCATCCTAGACAACCACTGCTCTATTACAAATCACACACAATCATACCAGCTGCCAAAAACTCTAGCTGAGGCTACTACCCCGGTAATAAGTTCATCAGGAAGATATCAAATGATAATTTCATAGATACCAAAACCACATAAAGCAGAATTTACATGTTATTTACCAAGTATCATAAACAACAGCACAACCATATTTGCAACAGAAAGCATACATCAAGATACAGTACTGATGCACCTAATAGGTTCATCTATTATTAGCAAAACAAGGGGATTAGGAATCAAAGCTTATCCTCCATAAAAGCCTATTACTAAGCAGAACTATTTGCAAAAATGGAACATCATAACACTTGAATCCAAAGCTTCAACCTGTTATAACAAAGCTAACTGGTATAAATTTTACAACTTACAAGAAGGCCCCCCCCGAAAAGAAGTAAAATTCCTTCAAGGGGATGTGCAGGCAATTTTATTTGAAAAACTCAAACAATGAAATCTATGATTGAAACCATGCATTGACCTTGCATGGGTATTCGATTTTGAAACTGAAACAGTCATGAAGTATTTGAAGTCCTTATGTAGACATATCAATCTCAACAAAAAAATCATTGGTCGCCACTTAACAAAAAAAAAGTTATCTACCACACCAAACCACTAGACAACATCCAAAAATTTCGCATTTTCTAATCTAACATTAATACCAAGGCATAAACTATCCTATAGACTAAACCAGTAACTTATAATCATATGATTGTTTGGAAGGTGAGAAAACTTGTCCTTGTATAGATCTTTTCTTTTTCTTTCTCAAACACAGCCATAGCATGTGCAAGGACACCAGATGAAAAGAAAGTAACAATCAACATAATAAATCTTATACAATCATATCATTAAAGTTAAAGAACCATGCTGAGTATGTCAATCACTAAAGAATAAAAGGGTGCATGATGAAAACAGATAATAACTATAAAGTGTAATATTTTTGCCTCTTTTTCATCTATTAAACCACAAACAAAGAGAAATCCAAATACAAACACATCCAACCAAAAAATCAATCTTGTCAATAAAAATCCATAAATTAGCAAAACCATAAAACCCCCAAGAACAAAACTTACCCCATATATACAAAACAAATACTAACAGAAGCAAAAACAGATCTGCAAATGAATGGGAAGCTGATTTCCTGAAATGAAGCGTCAAGACAAATTGTTGAAGAAACACAAAAAAGTAATGAAATTTACAGGAATGAAGCAAAATTCCAATATGGACATAGCAACTAAAAAATATTAAAAAAACAATTTACCTGGTTGTTCTTGTTCTAATTTGGTTGATTATGCCTTTTAGGTGAGATTTTCGCCTTTAGGACTTTGGAGTCGAAAAAGGAAGATAAAATGCTACAGATTATTATTATTATTTATTTTGAACAGAGAAAAGTAGTGTAGATTAGAGAGGTTAGTTTAAGCTACCTGAGCTGTTCCGTTTAACCTCTAATTGTTTATCCATAGCCAAACTCTTCATTTTGTTTTGTATACTACTAACCAGTACAGAATGTACTTCTCTGCTCTATTTAATATTACAGGATCAAATATATTGTTCAGTATTATTCAAGGACTTTCACTAATTTAAACCAATCCGTGTTCTCTGTAACCTAGAGATTTTTAGGTTAAATATTCAAGTAGGGCCTAATCTATTAGAGGTTGTTCAGATACAGGTAATTTAAAATAAGAGCTCAGATATTCAAAACATGCTCAAATAAGGGTTTATAGTTTATGCTTATTTTGTAACATGTGTATAACACACATAAAAATATTAAGAATTATCTTAAATTTATCTCCAATTCTTTTAATTATCTGAAATGCTTTTAAAGTAATATTCATTCAGAATTTTATTGGTTTACTGATAATACATACTCACTGTACAAACGCAACTATTAGAACACAATCTTTTAGATAGAAAAATATTTACTTTTACTAGTGAGATCACTTAATATGTTTTTAATATCTAATATGTTATCAATTTTGTTAGTCAAACTACTTAATTATTGTGTAGCTAATTAAGCTACTTTTCGTTAACATTTAATGGTGGAGGTGACATAGTTGTTAAAATCTGATATAATTACACATTTGATTTTTAATATTTACATGTTTTATCAATTTAATTATAAAATAATGAGTAAAGCGATAGGATGTGTAAATATTAAAGATCAAATATGCAATTATAACAATTTTAATGGCTGGCAACATTTAATTATTATGAAGTATTGATAAAAAAAAATCAATAGTCAAAATAAGAGAGCATAGTTAAAAATAATTTACCCATCAAGATATTATATTTGGCATTCCCAAGGAAACTGCTTGTCAGGTCTAGCAGAGTCCAGTGGAAAAGGAATCTATTTCGTTTAAGACTAATAGGCCCGGCCCATCTTATACTGTATATTATTAGCCCTTCCAAATTAATTTTCTTTTCGCTTAGGCCGTCCTTCAAATAACATAATATTGAAGATTATTGCATAAATATTAATTATTCATTTAATATTTTGCATAAATGTAATGATTTAATATCATCGTAATCATAGAGTTTTTATATATAAAAAAATAGAAAGCATAATAGCCACCGACTTGCAATATAATACTTAACGGCAATATTGATGGGTTTATATATACAGCGTAGCCATGTTTAACCTTGAATTTCTCTTTATATAGAAAGCATCAATATTGATGGGTTTAGATTTACTACGATATTTTAATAAAGAAATAATATACTCATTATACGTTGTATCTATGAAACCGGATCAAACTTGGAGAAGGATCGGCAACAGATGAATGGGGGCAAATGCTTATTATCAGCGATGTAAATGAATAGAGTGTTTGATAGATTATTTGTGAATCGTTCGTATAATTTTATTTATGTTTGTTTATTAAGTTAAATAAATAAATATGAACAAAATTTTCATATTAATTTAATAAACGAACAAACACAAATAGAGGCGTGTTCGGTTCATTTTTATTCACGAACAACCTCATTTAGAAGCTAGTTTATTTTTTATATTTTGAATATTAGATAAGGTACATACTAAATTGAATGTATGATGAAATTTGGAGTTTAAACTATGGATCCTAAGAAGTTTAAGCACTAATTGTGTAGTTTTACCATTTCCCTTATTATAACACAAAAAGAAACTTTTCTCGTCTCTCTTTTACCTTTTATCCTAAGCTAACATGTTCATTAACAATAAACGAACACTAAACGAATATATTCACAAAAGATAAACGAACTCTAAATAAACACATTCACAAACATTTAAACGAACACGTTCGCGAACATTTTATAAAAGAATACGAGTACCTTCAAAAATTAATAAATAAATACAAACATGTTACTAAAAAATTAAACAAACACGAACCGAATAAGAACACTTTAAAAAATAAACAAACAAACACGAACACAATTTTATTCATTCAATCTTGTTACATTTACACCCCTACTTATTTCCTTAGTGAAGTTTGTTGATAATTATGAAACATAGAACTATTGGTTTACTCATTGAAAGTTCAATCTCGAATTGATTTTTTTTTTGTTTAAAAGTACGTCATATTAGATGTGCTTTTTAGAAGACGTTTTGGGCATGAAATACTTTATGCCAATGTTAATAGAAAATAGTCAAAATTTCTAAAAATTACATCAAAATAAGTAAAATCACTATGAAGAATTATACATATATATTTATGATAACAGTAATAACAAAGTATATAAGTTTGGTTTTTATCACTCAATAATATTATACTTCAAATGTTATATTTAAATACTTAAAAATTTTCATATTTAAATATGAGAGACTTGTCAACAATTTTTAAAGTAATGGCTAAAAGCTTTTTGACATCTCATTCTCTTTTAGATTATGGATTCAATACTAAATTTCATTCCTCTTCCCTTAAAATTGTTACAAAAAATGAGAGACTTTGAAATTCATGACCAAACATATTAATCTGAAACCGTCAAATACATGTTTTAAACTTGAGTACATTCATGTCAATACAAAAGTCACAAAACTTTTTTTATATTGGGATTACACGTTTCAAAAGGTAACAGTTGTCAGAGTTCAAGACTTAGGTTTGATCAAGTTTATTATTTATCTTTACCGGCTCAAAATCAACAACTTTAGTCATGAACTCAAATCTCACATTATTTAGATATAAACGTTTTCTTCATCTACGTGTGTAAATATAATACTTTAAACATGCACACATTGAGTGATCATAGACAATACTAATACATGTGTCACTTCTGTTGTTCGACTTGTACAAATTTATATATTTTATATGTATTGCACGCATTTCTTTTTTGACAAAATATATATATAATTTTTTCATATCTTTCATTTTGACTTAATCTATTACTAGACTCTTATAATCATATCGTTACATAGTTAAAAAAAACACCACTTATAGAAAACGCTTTAGAATAATAAATACATATTGACATAATATATTTTATCTCAAGTGACATAAAAATTATCAGTCTATAATTAATCTAAAATGGTTGTTAACACCAAAAAAATAATTCTCAAAGGAATGCTATTTAAATAAAAAAACTATAAAATGAACACAAAAAATTTGTTCTAATATAATGACCTCTGTAGGCACATGATTTCGTCATACCCCACTATTATAATTTTTATATTTTATACATATGATATTATTAATTTCGTTTTTTACATTTACATGCCCCAACAAACGTTACAAAACATGTGGCCCAGTAGTCCATTTGGCATACCCAAACTACAAGTGACCCGAGCAGCCCACACCACGCTGCCCCAACACGCGACCCAAATCCAGAACCCGCTCCAAGTCCTCAACCAAGAAGAGTCCCCGTACCTCACGCAACCGTTGCTGTTTTTCACGACAACACTCCAACAACCCGGATCCTCCGGCGCAAGGAAGGCTCGTCCACCACAAGAGCAACCAACAAACATCAGAATTCTAGTTCAAATAGGATGCTAAATATAGTTTTTTTTTTCACTATAAATAAAGATGTAACACAATATCAGAGGATTACACAAAGAATTTGCACACAAGATACCACGGTTGTATACGATTTTCACAGAGAATACTTACACAAAATTTACAAGAGATTATCGAGAGAAACTTCGAGGAAATCAAGAAAATCTGTAAAATTTTGGAACTTTATTCGAAATAAAGGTACCTTTTTTGTTTTCTCTCTCGTGTTATTCGACTTGCATGTGGCTATTTTTGGGTTTGGTCTCGTTGTTTTGATTCGAAAAACACCAAAGGACGGGGTTTAAGCCGATGAACAGGGGGTGTTTTCAAGATCTACTTTCGTAGATCTAGCCCCTGAGGCTTGTTTGTTTTGAAAAACTATCTGGATTTTTAAAACAGGGATGGGAAGAACTTTTAAAAAATCAATTTTTTTTAGTTTTGCCGCCGATGAACGGCGACCGGCGAGGTGGCAACGGTGGCCGGAATCTGGAATAAGTGACGGTGTTCATGTGTTCTTCAAGAACACAAGAACACCCAGAGACAAAAGATAAAAAAAGGGAGGGGTGTTTTGGCGAGAAGGAAGAGAAATGAAGAATTAAAAAAATTTAACTTTTATACTAGACCCGATTCGACCCGCTGACCCGACCCAATAAGCCTAGGATTCGCGTGTTTTTGTTTCAAAATGGGTAAACTACGTTTTGCCCCCTATTATTTCTTACATATTTTATTTTGCCCCAACATTTGATTTTTCACTAATTTTTCTTATAAATTCGACCCCTAATTCTCGTTTTTCGTATTTTTTTTCTTATTTAAATATTTTATTATATATATATTTTTATTATTTTTATTTGATTATTTTTTATTTAAGCACTATATTTTATCATTATATATATATATATATATCCTTTAATATGTTATTTACGTTTATTATTATTATTATATATATTTTAGTTATTTGATTATTTTTTTATTTGTATTATATTATATATATATATATATGTTTTTTTTTACTTTGTTTATTTATTTTTAATTTTTTTATTCTTATTATTCTCTTTATTTTTACTTTATTTTTATTCCCTTGATGTTCATGTTATTTTTTTATTGTAGTCATTGTTTTTTATTTATTTATGATTGTATATAGATTGTTACCATTTTCTTTATTTATTATTTATTCCTTTTTCTCTATTTTTATGTTTATCCTTTTTTTATTTTCTTTATCTTTTTATCTTTATGTTATTTTCTTTATTTCCTTTGTCTTTCTTTCTTTAATTTATTTTCATTTTTTTTCTTTAACATTTTTTTTTTGATTTCTTAGGGGTTCACTTTTAAATCAATCAGTGGTAAGTTTTGGATCGTTATTTTACCTTTTAATTAAATTTACAACTTTCTTAATTAAAGACAACTGGAAATTACGTAGTACCGAA